CTTGACTGCTAGTGTCAAGAATTGAATTCTGTCGAATTTAATCCGTGGATTAACATATTAACACTCAAAATTAACGTAAGCACAGTTCTTGACCTTACTACGTTATTAATTATTAATTAGAACGTTTTAACCACAGTGTATAGCTGTGGTATATATTGTTAATTTTGAATTTAATTTAATCCCGTTTTTAAGAAATACACCAACAGATTATTTAGAAGTACATTTACAATTGGAATGATTTATTATTACTTAATATATATATGTTTCATACATACCTCAAAAAAAATATATATCTACGTACATACTGAATAAAAATATATAACAATCTGTTTTTAGGTTCCGTTATGACCACTGCCACCGCTACAGTAACAACACTACCAGCACCCAACTTTTTAACTGATAGTACAGTCAATTCTGCTACGCTTGACTCCATGAATACAAATTTGCTTATAAATTTAATAACTACGACCACAGAATCAACGAATAACGATTCTTCATATTGGGACCTTGGCTCTGACAATGTCGATTTTCTTTATCGTCATTCACTCAGTATGACAATTGTGTATTGCATAGCTTACTTAGTAGTGTTTCTAGTTGGATTGATTGGAAATAGCTTTGTGATTGCTGTAGTACTGCGTGCTCCACGTATGCGTACGGTTACAAATTATTTTATTGTCAATTTGGCCATTGGTAAGTCGAAAAATTACTATTTACATTATTATCTTTCTGATATGCAATATTATATAATTTTAATGACATATATTTAAATTGCACAACTAAAATTGCTTTTTATAATTACTATAATTTTTTTATTTTTCTTATAGTTACTTTATTTAAAAAATCAATAAACATATATAGTTTATCATTTTATTACAAAAATTGATTTCATAATCATAAATTATTATTAAATATATTTAATATAATAAATTAATAAAATATTATTTGTTAATATTACCATATAAGTGTTAAAAATATTTGTTTGTTTTACTTAAATTATAACAGCAGATCGACTTAAAGTTTCCCCACCCGATCACAATTTGTCAGTCCATATCTTTTACATAGTCTATTTCAATATTAGACTTAAAAATCTAATCACTACAACAATATCCTCTCCGATATCACACCTTTATAAGAATCCAATTATCAGTATCTCATTTTCAATCTCTTTATTTCTTTTCCCACACCCATACCCATCTTCATTCTCTTTTCCTTATCTCAAATCCATCTATTCAATGAAATAAGTACTTGCCATCAATAGAAACTCTCTGATACAATAGTTAGACATGATTTCTCATATATGTTCTTGATAGGGATATTCTAAAAACAATAATTAAATATTTTTAGTATATATAAATATACTATATAAACTAAAAATAACGATCGAAATAAAAACTAAAAACTCTGAATATTATAATATTAAAAAGTATTTCTTTCAACTTATAAAAAGATGTACGAGACACTATTAAACTTATTTTAACATATTTTAACAGATTTTATATTACATTTTATTAATATTTTTATTATAATTTAACTGTAAAGTTAAATAGAAATTAATTAAAACAACAAAATCTTTGGGTATTGTCAAATACCTCTCATCAGTAATCTGATATTTCATACACTATATCTTGGATTTAACTAATAGCAAATAATTTTTTAGACTGTAAGATTTATTTTTATATATTTGAATGTCTTAATCAATAATCAGTATTGATGATCTACTACGTATCAATATCATGACCCCATCATCATATAACAACACAGATGTAGGTGAACTTTATTCTTGTCAAGTAGACTTTTCCATCTCTCTTGCTGTTGTAGGTTAAGAGCACCTGCTGGGAGCGGCTTTCTTCAATTCTTGTTACATACCTATCCTAAAGTATTCGTCGTGATTTAGCAAACCTCACGGTTATTTAATTTTTTACCAAAAAAGCACTATCGCCCTAGATGAATTGTTAGTTTTATTAATAAAAATTATATTTAATACAAAAAATAAACAATTGCTCACTTTTCCTACCTTCTTTCTTTACAAAATCCATAATGCTTTTAATTTCCAAACATTTAAAATTTTTTCATTTGTTTATTTATTCAGAAACAAAATAAAAATCTTTTTTCTAGTATATAGCTATGGGAAAAGCTCGAAAGTATTTATCATTTATGAAGTTTTCTTCCATAAGCTTAAAGCAATTTTTCTTTAAGATTTATTGCAGTTCTAAACCAAACAAATTCAAATAAAATGCGACATAAAGCAAACATTTCATCAGACTTCTTTGAGTAGGAGCTGGAGTTCCAAATATAAATCTTAGTTAACATATATAAATAAAAGTAAATCCTATCTGAGTGTACACAATAATTTACGAGTATATGCTGCACGGTACTCTTTATATTGTAAATAATTCCATACACTAAATTGATATAGTAAAAAAGAGTACATCCAAAATAATTAAATTTACTCCTCCCAAAACGTTTTTATGTCATGTCACCATTTTGATGGCAGTGGTCAGTGGTCAGTGGTGAGTGGTCAGTGGTCAGTGTTCAGCACACAATAACAAAATAATGCACAAAGGACAATGACCAAATTCAATTATAACAAACAGAATTCGAGTGTGAGCCTTTTGGTTAAATGTTTTCGATACGTGCAAAACATACAAAGCAAAATTAAACAAACAAAAATATATTCATATTCAATTTCTGTGTATCTATTTAAGTGTACTCGTATTTATGTTGATATGATATAATTTGTACGTGCCTTTAGTTTATTCAATAAGTTACCAGAAATGCTTTCGCAATCAAAACGCCTAAAAATATTTCATATACCTAACAATCTCTTTCCAAATATTTATATTCTGTGTATTCTTTCACAGCTGATATCCTTGTGATTGTGTTTTGCCTGCCAGCGACACTGATGAGCAACATTTTTGTACGTAAGTATCATGAATTCATAAATTTATGCTTTTATATTCCCATATATCGGTGAATTATTTATTATTGCTATTTAAAAAGGAATAAAATATAATTTTTAATTTTAGTTGGATTTTTAAATAAACTACATTGTTTAGGTTCTCCACAAAAATATACTAATATCATTACAATAAGAAGCAAAACAAACGTATGTACAGTACGTACAAAATTAAACTTTCAACTCAACCCTAATTAAAAAGAAAATGTATGAAACCTACACGTAAAGCCTCAATAAACCTACAGTTGAGTAGTTGAGCAGTTGAGCATGCATGTATGTGTCCTTAAAGAAACGCACGAAAATCATAAATGTGGCACAGGCGACATTGTTTCACGTTCCCAAAGCAAAAGAGCAACGAATACATTTCCTTACGCCTTACGACGGAAAAAGATACTTTCTACAATAATTCTTTTTGCTGTTGCTTGTTGTCGTTGATATTGTCTTATATTGCTGAAAGTGAAAAAACTCGATTCTATTATTTCAAGGCTTTTCAATTTTGCCTTTTTGGGGTTTTTTGCCCGATAGAATGGAAACCGAGTCAAGTACCTCTTAAATGTTCTGTTTAATAGTCATCAGATGAGAGTTTACACATAATTTGCAATAAAATGGTTGCCGTCGTTGTTGGTTCTTTTGTCGAACCTCAATTGAGTTGACGTTAACTTTGTATTCTCACATATTTGGATGAATACTTATATGCTATATAAAACAATAGAAAAGTTTTTTAAAAAACAATGTATTATTGAATAAATTTCGTTAAAATCGCATAAACATAGATAATGTTGAGCTGTTGAATTAAGGACATAAAAGATCTTCCTTAATTGCAGTGTGTTATTCCCAAACATAAAATGACGTTTATGGACCATATAATAAAAAATAAATTATTTCAAGATTTCTTTTATGTTGTTTATTGTTTATTTCATTTTTTTATTACAAGCTTCTGCTACTAAATTTTAAAAAATATTTTATATTATTTATATAGAGGTTTTTCGAACAGTAATGAACTACAATAACAAAAATTCATTTTCTATTATTTTAATTAATTGAATTTTCGGCAGACCATACAGCTGTTTCGAGTATTGCCAAATACCCATCATTAGTGGTCTTGGAAATAATTATTTTATTTGTAAATAATTATTTGAGACTAAAAGTACTAGGAATTGAACTCGTGTCTTGCCAAATTTGAAGCTCAGAGTCGGCGCACCTTAACCAGCTGACTTAAAGCGTACTTGACTTTTTATGTTCCCGCATTTTTCAGGAGTTTTGTTAATTTGCTGTGAAAATTTTTATTAACAAATTCACTTGCTGTGTTTATATTAGAACAAAATCATAAACCAGCTGTAGAATAATTTAATCAATTATATTTTTATTTTTAATTGTTAAATTTCAATACTATTCTGTTTGTATTATTTATATTAAATATTATTTAATTAAAGAAAATTATGTAAACTATAAGTAAAAGAGAAATAAAGATCTGAAATGTTTTATATATGTATGTATTAAGTCTTATTTCAATATATACATATGTAATATAAAAAATAAATGTATAATATGTATACAATCAGGGTATGATGAAAAAGCAACTAGAGGTCTGAAATAAGGCGGCTTTATCTTGTTTATCAAGTTGGTTATCAGTTCCACTATCAGTAACACATACATGTCAACTATCAGGCAGATGCGATACCTAGTTTGTGTTTACTGAGCGAATGAGAACTATGTGGCAAAAGGTCTAATCGAAGTTTTTGTAAAACTTACATGGAAGGTTTTTGGTAAACGATACTTTGACAATCACGAAACGTTTATAGAAAAGTCTGAAATATTGACGATAACTCAAAGTCTGGGCATCCTAATACGTTCATTAAACATAAAAATAAAAGAATTACCATTAGAAAAATTATTGTAAAAAAAATAGGATTATCATACGGCTCATGCAAAAAAATATTTTAAATATTTTGAAATTAAAGCAAGTTGCAGAAAGTTTTAAGTCTTAACCAACAGTTTGTAGCGGAAAATAATATCTCAGTAATATTTAAATACTCCAGTCTCCATATAAGATCAATAATATCTTTTTCTTTTTACTTAAAGCTGAAAAGATACTTAAAAGATAATGGTAATCAACAATCTTTTGTTGAAGCTCGGGCCTTGACACCATACTTGTAAATCAGAAAACTATGTTGACACCGGTACCTTATATATTATACGAGTATATTATCTATATTAAAATATATTATAATATATTATTATATAATATATTATTATATATATTATATTATAATATATTATCAGACTCGTTATAAAAATAAACATCCCGAAGAGTATATGGTAATTATCCACATAAGAAAAAAATAATTTGTTGCTTATAACTCTGTTCTAGAAGTTGTTTTCGGTGACATTTCGATTTTTTTCCCAACTGGAAGTTACGTGAAGGAAGTTACGTAAACTAGTATCTTAATTTTCGATCAAATGAAATAAGATATTGGCCACAATTATTTTTGTACCTTGCAGAGAAGTAATCTTATGTACTAGAAATTCTAGCACAAAATAAATCTATCCAACTGCATTCATATAATAAATCACACCTTGCTGAACATTGACTTTGAAGAGCTTTCCATCTGCCTCTAATTACTGGAATGCTTAACTTTTTGTAGTTAGAAATGGATATATAAAATTAGTTCCAGTAGGAAAATTTCTTATTTATTTTGTTTATTATACTCACTTCACAATCTCTAAGTATATTACGATTCTTTACATTGATAATGGGCTATATATATAAGAAATATATACTATATATGAGTATAAGAGTTCCTTGAAACTAGAAATAAAATTTTTTTATCTTAAAGACAAAGTCAAAGACTTTAAAATATATAAAAAATTACAACCAATTTTAAATAAATTGATGAAAAAAGAATTAATAATTCGATGTATACGAGTATTTGTTATTCGCGTAACCCACAAGTAAACTTAAACTTTTTGCAATTTCAAAACTTTAGGCGTTCATGTATGTAGTTGTTTTTGTAGTTGTTGATAAAATTTTCTACCATTTTTTTCAAAAATCAAGTTAAACATGGTTGAGGGTTGATTTCTTTCTTCTTTCTTCTTTATACTTTTTTGTTTTTTTTTTGTTTTTACTTTGCTCTTCTGTTGTGTGGTGAAAATAAAAGCTCTGCACATTTTGTATGCATGTTTGCACAAATGTTTATGAAGGTTTATAAGTATAGGTGCTATAGTGCGCTTGTATACGAATTTTAGTGGCATCCTTTGCATAGGCCAAAAGGATCATCGACACAGTACTGACCTAATTTCGCAATTTCAACTTAGGCGCAAGGTTTACAAATGTATATGTATGAGTGTTACGATATAAACGTTTTTATTTGTTTTTGTACGTGTTTGTATACTAAGTTGTGTGTATGTTATATGTGTTGTGTGTGGCATAACTTTTGTAGGTCAATGGGTGGAATAAGGTTGTTTGTTGATTTAATGTTGGTAAAAGTGTTTGTTAAGAGCAATTTGTAGTTGTGCGTTTGTGCGATATATTAGTGTGTGTGTGGGGTCTTGTCTCAGGTGGTTGACGAAGAGAGTACAATACTGTGACTATTAGTTATGTTCTTTTTTGTTTTTGTTTTTGGTTTTGTTTTTTTGCTTTATAGAATAAAATTTCTATTTTCCACTTATTGGGTTGCAGCCTGTGTGCATTGTAAGTAAACATGTGCTACGTTTGCAAGGCACCAACAAGTCGTCAAGTGCTTTTAAGGTTACTTGAGTTAAGAAATAAAGAAAGAAACACAATGACTAGATTGTTGATGGCAAAAATGATATAAACTTTCAATAAATTTTACTACATTGGCTCTACTTTTGAAATAGAAATCAAAGTCACTTTTATGCATAAATATTTTAACTAGTGTCTATTTCTTATTTATGCATACTTCTATTATATATATGTATGTATGTATGAGTATATAAATGCATACAAAAGGATATACGCGAAAAAGTAAATATTTATATAAACCACTTTGTTTACATTATTATGGTATAAAATGCACTATTTAGTGTAGCGTTGGCGTTAGTGATGGTAATGCCGATGACGATGACAATGGCGGTGTGGTGTGGTGTGTTTTGTGGAGATGGTGTTTTATGAGTAACATGTGAGAAGAAGAGAAGGTGATTGGTAATGATAAGAGTAATGGCACTGCTAATGTTTTTGTTGTGTTGTTATCTAAGCACAGCTTCAGCCTTAAAACAGTTTGGAAGGTTGTTAACGGTTGACACTCAGGGTTATTTGCGGCTCGATAAATTGACCTAAATATTTTGCTCAATGAGTTCTTCAGCAAGCCTTCTAACATGTACACAATATTTTCAACATAGTCAAGTCAACAAATTGATAGCACTAAATATAAACAAATAAATAAACAGGCTGTTATGTAAGAATATAATACGATATTGAGTTTTGTATAATAAACTGAATTAAATCAATAGAATTTAATTTTTTTGATTTGAAAATGTATTTATTTAAAGAAAATACACTTAAAATAATATTTTTGACAATAATACAATCTGTATAAGATTTTGGTACGAAAACAAAACCATCAACCAAAACAAAATTATTCGTATGACATCCATACGAATTAAGAATAAAGAAAGACAAATAAACATATCAAACATATTCAACCATATCATATAAATTTGTGGTGTTGCAAAATGGTCTTGTCCGCAAGACCAAGATGTTCTAGGAGCTAGAACATAATATACGTTAATTATAGGAGTCTAGAAAAGTTTAACACTCTTCAAGAGTGTATTCTATGGAGCGAATTTCTATATCCGCAATTGAACAACCTAAATGTGCGGCGAAACTTAGAGGATCTCAGTGTGAAACTTCTAAGAATGCAGAATATCAGTGGGAGATTATGCTAATTATGGTGTTGACCGTTGGGCTTGTATTTGTAGGTAACACATGTCACGAACTACACTCCTCTCAAAAGCACACAAACATTTCAAACATTTCATATTCAAGCATTTGAATAAAGAGTGATTGTAGCAAAGTAGTTTTAATGTAGAGTAGTTTATACCTGAGCAGGGCGTTTTTGAGTTGGATGTGCCAAAAAGAGGAGTACTTAACAATCTGGAATATATGAGGAATAGAGTTGTTAGTGCCTCCCCGTTAGTGCAATTGCTGACGTTTTATTTGGATTAAGTTTGCAGGTGATATAGTACCTAGTAAGAGTGCACAGATGTTTGCTAAAGATGTGCGATATTCTGCGTATGGATTTTGATCTAGTATATCGTAATTAATTTTATTTTTTAATAAATTTTTGAAAAAAATAAAAGCGATCGTCCCTCAACGATCCCCACTATCTTTTCTTTATTGTATTATTTAAATACAACAGATTTTGGTCAGGAATCTAATAACACAATTTTGCTCTGTGCTGACAACACCAGCATTATACAAGTGGACAAAAATGCTAATTCTGTTGTGAAATTCACAACTTCTAATTGATAAGATAATGAGGTACTTTCGAAAGTAGCGAAATAGAGCAAATTTTAAGAAACGAAGGCTATATACATTACTAAACGTAGAAATCAAGTTCAAGGACAATAAAATTCACAAATGTATGTAATGATTGACTACAATCATCCAATAAAATTTCTGGTCCTAAATTATGTATTCGAGTTGCCAGTTTGTTTCGAATAATACTGATTACATGTAGAATTTAAATGGGAAAATAGTGTAAAATATCTAGGTCTTACGTTTGACAGGATAGAGAATAAATGGATTGGCTTGTAAAATAACTCTGAATGCTCTGAAACTATTAACCCAAGAAAAGTTGAGTGTGAAAAATAATATTCTGTTTTGTAAGAAATACTGAAATATTCTGTTTTTTATTGCAATACTGCTTCATCCACCATTAGAAAACTTTAAATTCTGCTTCAAAAGCTCAGAAATGGTATATCAGAAACGAAGATGTACATAAAGACTTCAAAATGAAAACTGTGTAAAAGTATATCAAAGGCAGAGGGCTTAAATTGTCTAATTTTATGGATGTATACTCTAATTCAGAATTGCACTCTCTTAAATCAAATGTACTATTTATTCCATCAGGTAGATAAGTTGATTTTCAGACTATATACTTTTGTAAATTCATTAAAATAACTTATTATGATAATTTAATCTAGCTTAGCTCTTGGTAGAGTGGATCACTCAAGTGGTCACAGCCACTATTGATTAAAAGTGCTTTAGACACTAATCTGCTCTTCATC